TCTCAAAATGGGTTAAGTCCTTGTCAGCGTTACACATTACTGCTAATCTTGTATGCATTGTGAGTTTGACAGCGATCGGTCAAGTTTGCTTCACTGTATTTCGCTGTACGATATTGATATTGTCGTTCGCAAAGGTCATAAAACGGAGGAAGTTGACTGCGAACAGAGCTAGTAGATTAGTGCATCCTCACACGTGGAAGTGAATTCACTGAGGTGACTATCGATCGTCCACAAACCCAAAGGATGTGTGTGCATGCAAGCACGAAATCAGTTTGTAACGTTCTCTCGGTGATGCTGCAGTATGAATACATCTTCAACAACACCCTAATGATGGATAGTGTAGTTTTATTCTGTGACGTTAGCCAATCTCTAATTCTGCCTCATGGCTCACATGCTGCATACAAGCACGTGACCCTTCTCTCGCGCGCGTTCAAGCATGGTGCCCATGTCACAACAATAATAGTTATAACAGAGGAAAGGGGGATTGGGATACAGAACAAAGTGAAATGCCCTTTTGAGTACCTAGGGTCTACCATCCAGCCGAATGACCAAATCAGAGATGAAATCAGGCTTTATGTCGGCTGCACGAGGAGAGCGGTCCCACAAATTCACGAACCCGTATGATTTTGCAGCGAAAAAAATCCCCCACACAAATGTGCGCGTCTGTCGAACAGGTATTCGACCTTACATATGGTTGCGAAATATGGTCACAGAGTGGAATAGATAGCTTCTACTTTTGCCTCCGATAATAAAAAAATTAAGTGGCATAACCCTGTTTCGAATCCCGCTGTCCATCAGCGTAGTGGATTCAGCGAAACCATTCTTATTTTATCCATTGATAATGTATTCAATTGTTCGGATAGGTCAGAAAATAAAATCGCAAGGAGAAGCCTATCGCGGACGCCTGAAGTGGCACTGTCGTCCTGAAGACCAGCTAAAGACGTGGGTTAGTCCAATCCGATCTAATGTCTGGGTCTTCATTTGATTTTCGGTGTACGTAACCGGTGCAACAGTTGACTTTCCAGGTGAGCCGACCTTGTCGCGGATCGTAACGCATGGATAGCTGTATTCGGAGATATCCGAGAAACCGACTAATCCTAATACCGAAGATAATCGCAAGAAAGTTTATCTTTTAGACGTCTCAACCTGATTTTAATCTGCATGCCGGGAGTTCTACCGAGGGGTGACAGCTGCCTAACAGGGAGAATCTCCTCGCAGTTACAGATGAGAGCTGTTTCTGGTAAGAATCAAAACCTGGAGAGGGATCCCTGAGGAGCACAGTATTCTATTTTTACAGAGGCGCTGCTTCTCTGTCACTCAGTATGACGGTAGCTATTGAATTAGTCACTAAAATTCTCCCACTACCTAACCGCTTTCAATGCTCTCACGATATCGGATCGGCATCCAGTTTCGGTATGAGAATCAGGCTAGTTTTGCATCTGGTAGAGAATGTTCCCACAATATTTTCACCGTCTGTCAACTTCTGGTGATCAACGTTGGCTTTCGTGGACCAAATTCTCTCTCGACTTGAAGGCAATCATGTACCCAGTCGACTTTTTGCTTGAAAGGTATGAGGTGCAGTACAGTGGAGCTCGTGCATTTTCAATTTCTTCGCTACTTTAGTCTTCCGTAATTCGCCATTCTCCCTTCGACTCTACTCTCAGCATTTCAATCTTCTACCCCTTCAGTCACATGGGTAACCCAAAAGACAGCAACCAAAAACCGCCGCACGAATTTGCATGGTTAATGGTTGTACAAAATGAACTGAACCGATTGGTAAGGGGCAAACCTCAATCACAAAGGTTACTGCGTAGTGGGAATGAGCGAACAATTTGTTGCCCCTGCGCTAGAAGATTGAGGAGTTATACAGAGCAAAAATGGTGAGGAAGTGTGCCACAATTGTGCGGATCTTTGATAAAAGAGAATGCGAACTAGCAGATCAATGAATAGAGGGGGGATGTGGCAAACAGACTAAACTGTAAAAGATGTTTGGTGGTAGGCAGCTTTGCTGTCGTCCGGTTCAATATCACGTCTTGCCTAGCGAGGCCTTATGTGATTCGCCACTCCACGTCCCGGGGCTTAGATTACCGGTTGCCATCACCGAACAGCAGGTCCTCGGGCTTTCCCCGTCTGCTGTTCATCACACGAAAGCGTGTAATGAAAAAAGGTGTTAGAAGAGATAGAACAAGTTTCCTCCTCAGACAGCTACATCTATTAGACGAATCTCAGATGAGTTTTTGGCAAGCATGCAAAAGCTCGGTTAACACTTGCCAACTGCAGTCGTCTTCGGGTTCAGCATGTCATTCACCTGTCCGTGAAGAGTGTTTTTTTTTCTTCACTTGCTTGATTGCTTCCACTGCATATTGCCGAGGTAGCCGCTAGGGGTAAAAGACAAACAGACTGTCGGTGTTGACACACCGATATCTACGCTTCATTGCACGAATCTATTGGGATAACCAAACAAGCAATCATTATTGTCCGATCCAATACTATGCCATTTATATTTGAACCCCAACTGGCAGTTCACTTAGGAGAGTTGGCTAAACACCCTAATTCCCAACCAGCCAAGAGGTTTAAGAACTACACCCACCTTCCCGGTTGTGGTAACGGTCACCGGCTCAATTGGGCATCGAGCTTTATTGGGCACCTTGGCACCTTAAAAGGCGTATGATCCGACTAACTGGACACCGCCCCCCCCAATGGATTGCAGTTTGAGCACAGTCCCCGCTGCCTTGTGGGTCAGGCTTTGGCTAACCAAAAGCTCCGGTTATGCATTCCACCAGAAAATTCACCTGCCTTGGCCTGGGCAACCTAGCAGTATTCCGTCCACATGCAAATCATGGAACGTCTTTCTTTATCATAATATTCTACCATGATTTGCTTGGCACATAGTCTGGATTCGGGCGTGTGTGAAAATGATAAATATATAACCTTAACTGCTTCGTCACTGTAATCCAAAGGGTTACCGGTTACCAAAAATGAACAGTAAATACTCGTGATTATTGTTTTCNCTCCCTTCGCTAGTCATCGCATACAGGTTTGTTATAAAGAGACAATCCCTAGTTTATGTGTTGAGTTCTAAGTAATCGCAATCGTAAACTAAAGTTAGTTGGAGCACGTGTTACCAGATGGGCTTCATATGCTCCCGAGGTTTCCCGTCACAGGTGCCTACTTCACATTGGCCTGAGTCTATTTTCTGCGAAATAATCCACGGTCGAGACTCCTTATATCAAAGGAATAGATACAGGATTTACTCGTGGACAGGATAGTATGAGATTATCCAGCNGCTCAAGTAGGTTAAATTTCCTTGAGACCTATCAACCAGAGCATTCAGTCAGTCAAAGCCTGACCCGCAAGGCAGCGGGCGATGTGTAAAAAACGCAATCTTGTTGGTAGGTATCCAGTTCATCGTATCCTGCGTCTTTTGTATGGAGTCAAACCTCAAAGATGCCGAGGTAATTAGTTAAAACAAAACCCTTGGTTAGACTGACTGACTGTGGAGCTCGTGCATCTGCTCGTTTTAAGTTTGCTTGCATTCTGTATCTGCATCTTGGTACTGCTCTCAGCTTTTAACTGTTCCATTATCTTTTTCAACGGTTAACAAAAGCTATGGCCGAAAGACTATAACCGAAACCGATGCACGGAGATGCAATGGTATTGGTTGTGCAAAATGAAACTGAAACCGGAGGTCGACAGACAGGTTGCCTTTGCAACTGTCCTTGAAGCATTCAATATAGCCTCTGAAGCATACTATACTCGAATTTAGTTATCACTGCTTTATTTCAACCCAACCTCCTCCCCGCGTTTCATTCTCCATGTGACAGAAGATTCACGATGTTGCCGACGTACGGAAAAGGAAGGTTAGTGGTTGTACAAACTGAAGAACAGAAACCGGTTTGTTAAATTCAAGGTCCTCAGAACTGTTCACGACTTTTGACCCGTACATTGCATTTGCTTCTATTGAGAAATCGTTCCAACTATGACTATTTGTAACGTTTGTGCTCTTACTTTTAGCCGTGCTTTGTGCGTACGCCGAACCCCATGGTGTGCTGACTTGAGATAAACTTCGTTTTTGCTCTGATTGCGAAGAGCAATCAGTGAAGGTTTCAACTAATTACATAATTTCCTGTTTCTGATCAATATGCATTTTTCCAAACCAGGTAGGTCTTCCTTCTATCAGTGTTTGTTTTTTGATGGACTATATTTTCATGATATTTCATTAAAACATTGAACTGACTTCTCTGTCACAAATTCATTTGAATGCTGTATCCATGTTGAGAGATATTTATTATCACGGAATACTAATTTTTCCCTCGCTTTCAATG